CTTGCAAGCAGCCAGTCGTGAGTTCGATCCCCTATACCGATAAAAACGAAAAAGACCAAAAAAAAAAAAAACATTAAAAAAAATACAGATGAAAATGGAACTTTTAGTGTGAAGCGACATGAGTCTGCTAAGGGCACGGAGATGTAGCGGTAGATGATCCTCCCGGCTTCACTGGCAGTAGAGACAGTGAGAAAAGGAGCCTAGCAATGACAGGCTTGTTTAGCACAGTGCTGTGTGTCGGATACTGTAGTCCACTTGGTAGGTAGAATCTCTTGGCTCAGGTGACTGAGAAAACCAGAACCAGCTCTCCAGAGCATCCTGCTAGGCACACCCTGGTTAACGCTCCCTGATAAAAGCCATTTTGGAATCACACTGGTGCTCTTTGAGAGTAAAAACACAAAGGACCAGAGAAGAAACCTTGCCTAAGGATGTACCTGGGGTGTTGGGACACTGCCTCTCCTGTGTGCTCCTTCCTTCCTCTGATTTACCAGGGATGATGGGCCAGGAGGACAGTGCTGTCACCCTTTTGGCTGTCACAGTGATGAGTGACAGCATAAGTGACTCATGTGAGGCAGTTTCAGGCTCAGGAATCAGAAGACCAGTACATCAGGTGAAAAAGGCATGGTGTGACCTTGGCCGAGTGAGGTGATTATTGTTTTCTCTGAGACTCAGTTTCTTTACCTGGAAAATGGGCTGGATGATTATCCAGCTCCAAGATCAGGTGGAAGAGTTTGTCCCTTGGTGCATGGCACATTGAAATACTCCAGGAAGGCCATTTTGTTCCTCCCTCCCCACCCCTACTTTCTCTACAAAGAGTTGTCGTTAAGTAACTAGGTTTTCTCCAGCACCACTTTGAAGTCAGTGAAGATCAGCTTCAGCTTCCTTGTTTCTCTTGTTTGCCTTTCCTAATGCTCATGGCAAAAGGTCCCTGTCTGGGCTGGGTCTCCATCAGGGACTGCAGGCCCCGGGCATTGGCTCTTGGTCCCGGCATGTGCCTCTCCATAGTGGGGCTCTCAGTGGCCTCCCTTCACTCCCATTTGCAGGCACCTTGCCGCCCATGTGTGCTTTACCCTGCTGCCTGGATCTTGCTGAGGGTGGACAGCTGGCCCTTCTTCCTGGGTGGATTTGGTGGTGGTAAAGCAGCCATCTGCTCAGTGCTGTTGTTAGTCAGGACTCTTGATTTCAAGGGATAGGAGCCAAACTTGAATAAGCTGATGCATAAGCGGGACATGTTGGAAGCTTTCAGGGAGGCTCAGAGAATCAAGGGAGCGCTAGAGAATGTAGCCCTGAGAAGAGAAAGCTCACCTCCAGCATCCCTGGACCAGAGTCCTCTGTCCATTGGTCCACGGCTACAGACAGCTCCCTGCTGCTCCAAGCAGCCTCCAAGGACCAGCTCTTCCTTGGCACTTTGCAAACTGAAGCACGTGCACGCTCTTTGTACCAACGAGTGTGGCCAAGGAGGAAAGCTACTCTCAGGAAGCTGCCTTGAGACCTGTGCTCACTTTTTTGGCTGAAGAGTGAGGACAGGGTGAAATTTACTATCAGCACAAAAGAAGAGCGGTAACCAGTGAGTGGCAGGTATTCTAAGCTTTTTAACTCATTTAATCTTCATACTTGACCCTGTTTTACACACCAGGAAACAGGCAGAGAGTGGGTAAGCAGTTTGCTCGAGGTTACTTAGTGTCTTGGTTACTTTTCTCTCCTTGCTGAGACAAAATACCCGACACCCAAAATTAAGGAAGCAAAGGTTTATTTAGTTTGTTTGTGGAGGTTTCAGTCCCTAATCAGCTGGCTCCAAGGTAGGGTGGCGTGGCATCAGGGCAACTCTTCAAGATGGCAGAGCACCAAGAGCAGAGGGGAGGAGGAGAGCCAGTCTCTTTACCTCCCTTACATTGTATGCAGGCCACCCCCTGCCCCCAGGGCAGGTGTAACACTGACAAAATCTCTGCACCTTCCTCTTGCCCAGAATGAGAATACTTACAAAGTAAGGACCCTGGCTCCCTGCTGAGTCCCTTAGTTAAACTTCTAAACTTTTCAAATTGGCACAATGTATCAGCCATAACACTTACAAGTTAGGAGGACAGTGAGGATTGAACCCAGGTGGAGAGCTATAGATGCCCTTGCTGTTCGCCACCCACTCTAGGACAGATTGTAACAGCTGATGTCACCTGCATGCGTTAGCTCCTGGGGCCAAGTCCTTTGCAGCGTTGTCTCAATCATCTTCACAATGCCCTCTGGAGTGGGTACTAATGTTATTTCCATGTTTACATAAAAAAATGAGGCCCCCAGAGACCATGCGGTTTGCCCAAGGCCACCCAACTCTTAAAGTGACAGAGCTGGGATCTTGGTTTGCCTGATTGTAGGCCGTGAGCTGTTAACCCATCTCCCAGGTCCCATTTGATTCAGATAGTTCTCTTGCTGGGTCAGAAGCCTGCTGGTGTTTGGGATAAAAAGCAGACTTGGCTCAGGATCTGTGTCTTTGTCCTCTGTCTGAGGGTCTGGGGTGTGGAGACCTCCACTTGGGTTGTGCTGTGTTGTGGATTAAGATGGTTCTTGAGGGGCTGGGGATTTAGCTCAGCGGCATAAGCGCCTGCCTTGCAAGCAGCCAGTCGTGAGTTCGATCCCTGGTACCGATAAAAACGAAAAAGACCAAAAAAAAAAAACCAAAAAAACAAAAACAAGATGGTTCTTGAACAAGTCTTCGATGTGTCTGAGCTCTGTATCCATTCATTCCTCTATGTAGCAAATACTGCTTTTATGCTTAGGGGTGCCAGGCGTGGTGTAAGTGCTGGTGGTCTTTCCGGGAAGACCCTGTCTCTCTGTAGCTGGCTCAGAGGATGTCAGAGAGGAAGGATTGCCAAGTTGCTCTCCTGCTAGCCTGCCATGTTCCTTGGGACCCACAAGGCCATTCAGGTTCCCAGAAAGTCTTCTCAGGCCCAAATCAGGCTCCCAGAGGACCAGAGACCTCCTGCTTATTTGCTTGAGACTGACATGATAGCAAGTCCAAGGGGAGACAGATGATGTTTCTTCATCTAATTGATTACCAAAGGAGGTATTGTGTCAGAGAACAAACCTGGGTTTGGACTCTGGCCAGCTCCATGAACTCCCAGAGCTGCTGTGGTTAGTGCTAATGGGATGCTTAGCCAGACACTTGGCTGAAGCATGCCTCAGTTTACCCTTTTGTAATGTAATACTGTACTCCTTTGTTCCAAGTTTGCAGGGAGGATTAAGTAAGGCATCACACACACATTAACCACCCAGTGCAAAGCCTTGCACAGGTAATGCTCTCCCCAACCTTTTAACTAATAACTAGTATGATAGGGATCTCTAAAAGTCAGGGTCCATGGGCAGTGGCAGGAAATCACCAGTTATATCAAGCTCCTCATTTTGTAGGTGAATGAACAGATCTCCTTGGAGTACTAGGCTCTGGGAACTTTCAGTTGATGATGTTACAGGGAGCGCAAAGCATGTTTGGCTGTTGGTCAGACAAAGGGCACATGTGGGTTGATCTGAGCCTAGGTCTCTATGGGAGTCTGACCAATGGATCAGCCCTTGTGGCCCCAACAGTGTCACAGGGTACAAAGACTTCTGTTCCTGAGATCCAGGGAGCAGGAAGTGGTCTCTGGTTTCTCAGACCCTGAGAGTAGAATTTGACATCAGGATGTCCAACTCTCCCACCTACTCCAGCTTCCCAGGAGAATCAGGAGCAGCCAAGTCAAAGTCTCCGGTCACCCTGGCCTCTGGCCTACAGCTCAGGCATAGAGAATGTGGCTGAAGCGGGCCAGCCTGTCTGTCAGCTGGTGCAGACCAGAAGGGTGTGGGCTTGATGGTGCGCACAGTGGCAAGCAGGACTGTAGCTGCTGCCCAGGTCGCTGCTCTTGGGGCTTGCCAGGCTCTTGGAGTGTGTCAACCACCACAACTGAGATAGACGCCCGCCTCCAGGACACCTTTGCTTAGGATGTGGAGTGGCCTGAGCTCGAATCCTACCATGCTGTGGCTCCCTGGCAAATGCTGGCTGCTTTCCAAGCTTCCGTTCCAAGCTGCCTGTGAGGAGCTACTGAGAAAGTATGTCTTGTCCTGGTGACACCGACTTTGTATGCAACCAGTGCTGAGCCATGGCAGGTTCTCCTCCATGATTGGTCCGTACGTTCTGGACGGCAAGGTCCGCTTTGCAGTGCTCTGAGTGTGGCTGTCTGTATATTGGTGAGAACACATGCGTGCCTGTGTTTGTGTGGCCAGGCAGGCCTGCTGCTTTGTAGAACAAAGTGTGTACTTCCCAGAATGTGGACTTTCCCTGTTATAGGTGGCAAATTTCACATCTGTGTTAGCTTCGGTCCTCTTGAGGCTGCCTCTTAGACATTGAGATTTTTTTTCAGTGTGAGAATATATAAATATGTTATACATATGTATAACATATACAAATATGTATAATACATACAAATATGTTACAACTTGGGACCTCATTTTCCAAACAGGTGTAGAGACATTTTCTGAAGCAGCAATAGTATGCAATCTAATCATACGGGTGGTCACTGGAATTTAGGTGACAGCTGTGATGAGGTGGGCCACTTCCCTGATTCCCTGGTTTATTCATTATCTTGGTCGTTTATACAGGCGATCTTCCAGATTTCACATTGGTGACTTGTTAGCAAGTTTTATACTACCTTGATTTATTTTCATTTTGTCTCAAGCTTAGAAATTCTGGTATTTTCTTTTTGACCAAGGCAAAGTCTTTGTGTCAGGGTAGAATAAGGACACAAGGTGCCCAGCCAGTGGTGGATGACAGAATTTGCTTAATAGACTCTTGGCATGCAAAACTCAGAGTACAGGGAGTCTCTGTCCATTTCAAGTGCCACTATGAGACAAAGTACCCAGAATAATGTATTTAGGAAAGTTGGCTATGATCAGTGATGTGTGGGACTCCGTTGGAAGGGAGGAGACAGGAGCCTGGCATTTCAGATCATGAAACTGACATTAATCGTGACCTCTGGTTTTTATAGGACCATGGCAACCTGTGCAGGGCTTGTCCTGACAGAAGACTTCAGCCCCTGTGATGCCTGAGAATCACGTGAGTAAGCCACAGTGGTGGCTCTGTGTTGTGCATTGGCTCCCAGGGACTGCGTTTAAGCTGAGGAAGGTGTGGGAGCTCTTAGACTCTTCAAGCCAGACACCATTGAAGATACAGTGGCTAGAGGAACCTTCCTTCCCCTCCTTAGCCCTCAGCCTTGGTCTATGACCTGCAAGGTTGCACAGCCTCCCTGGGCTTCCAGAAGAGGTAGGGTGGAGCCCGAGACTCATCTGGGGAGGTGAGAGACCTGTGTGACTGCTGGTGTGTGAATGGGCAGGCCTTCCAGCAGCTCTTCTGACCCCAGCCTGGCTCTGAGCCACTCAGCCACCCAGGACCTCTTCGTGAAGTGATCTCAGTGCACCCTACGCTACAGGGCCAAGACTTGAAAATGTGATTGCTGTGTCTTTATCAGAATGTGTGGGCTCCATTCTGAGAAGAAACTTGGTTAGATCTTTCTGAGGCTTCCAAAGCTGATGGGAGTCCTGGGGTCTGGAAGGCTTGGTATAGGCAGACATCCATGATGGCCCTGTTCGTTTGTGGCCCCCTTACATGAGCTAATGTAAGAGCCTTCCCTCCACTCTCCTGGATCCACTCCTTGTCCTTCCTACCGCATCCCTTCCTGTGCTGCCGGAGACCCTTCTCAGGATACATCTGACTACCCCTCCTATTGACCTTCAGGGCCCCCTCCAGGACTAGGACATGCTGTTCCCTCTCAGAAGCCTCCCTCACCTCCACAGATGAGGCTGGTGCCCCGCAGCACTTTGCTGTCCCTCAGATGCACCATCATGTGAGCTAAGGTGTCTTCACTTGCACGTTGCCCATCAGCTGAGGGAGCCTACAGGTCAGGGAACCACCTTCCAGCTTTCCTATCTGAGACTCTCCCAGCTAACACAGTCCCTGTGAGGTTGCATGTAGTCAGTAGCTGCTTGCTGACTGAAGGAGTCTGAATCCCAGGTCAGGCCAGGTTTTACAGCTACAAAGCTGGGCTCTGCACAGCCAGAAAACTCGCCCTGAGTTTCTGCTTAATTAGGCCTGAGCCTCATCTCCTCCTCCTCATCAGGCTAGCCTTGCTTCTGTAAACTGTGTAATTAGAGAGGCTATTTAGAGCAACCCTCTTATTACCAAACAGGGAAACTGAGACCTGGCCTGAAGAGACTTTCTCAAGTTTGTAGAACTTACCAGAGCCAAGTGGATAATTGGAAAACAGGCCCCGGGCTTCCGTTCTGGCATTCTTCCCACTCCCCCGCTCCTCCTCAGCCTCCCTTCTGTGCTCAGCAACCTGAGAACCTTCTGCAGCCTGCATGAGTCCACACCGGCAGGAGGGAAGAACTTACAGAATGCCCTGAGTTGGGGAAAGGTGGAGGGGAGGACTCCTGGGCCCTCTCCAGGTGCCCTTAGACTGTGGGCCAGGGTGGGCATCACAGGAGCTCAGTTTGATTGCAGGAGGAGGGAGTGTGAGGGTCAAGGAGAGGATCAGGGCCAATCCAAGAGGCCAGGACTCGGGGGAAAACATAAGTTTGCCCTTAGAGGCTGACCTGGTCGGCACCGAGCACCCGCGTGGAGATAGGATGAAAGGAGTTTGCTGGATCTAGGGGAAGGTTCTTAGCATCTGGGAAAGAGGCCCATATGGCCAACCTGTCACAGCTCTGCGGCCCCTGCCCTGTGCTGCGGAAACCCCACATGTAGCAGGCATCCATGTGTCATCTGACCTGTACTGGGGAGGGTGCGTGGGGTTCCGGCTGACTCACCCCTACCGTGCACAGATGAATTTCATCCCGTCTCTGATCAAGCACGTGTCCAGTTGTTTCCTTCCCGCTGTGGGTCTTGGGTCTCTCCTGGCTCATTTGTCCAGTCCAGGCTTGACACGGGGCCCGGTGGGTCTCTGTGTGAACTCCACCCTTCTTGTACCGTCTCAGGCACACAGACTGGAGACCGGGACCGTGCCCAGATCTGTCTCCTTCAGCAAGTTGAAACATACAATTTGCCTAAATTACAGAGAATGTGATGTTAGCCAAATAGGTACCTCAGATTGCTTTCCAAAACATTACCAGATTATATACTTCTCTAGGGCAGGGAAAGTGTGTTGTATTATGTCATTATTATTTAAACCTTGCATTTACATTGTGCTTCATATTTTATAAAGATTATTTCATCTTCGTGATTGGACAGGTAGATTCACTCCCATTTTCCAGAAGAGAAATTATCCTTAGACAAACTGGAACTTGCCCAAGGTGATGGAGCTAGGGGCTGAACTAAGGGGTCATGCAGCCTCCTGTTTATAAATCCCGTGATCTCTTTCCTCTATTAAAAATCCTACCATGTGTAAGGCACTGGAGGGGCTGGAACATAAGGGGAGCTCAATAAATATTTGTTGAATAAGTGAACTTTGTCTCCTCCTCCTCATTCCTCCTCCTCCTCCTCCTCCTCCTCATTCATCCTCCTCCTCCTCCTCCTCCCCTGCCCCCTTTCATCCTCTTCCTCCCCCTCTCCCTCTTGTTCTTCTTCACCATAAATGGATTCTCTCTGGCAGTAAAGAGGTCACTACCCTGTGAAGTAATTGAGTCTCTGGCCCTGATAAGGAACTGGTGAGCTGTCTTCTTACCCAGCCTCACGGCAGGGAACTGGGTCATACTCACTGAATAATTAATCCCACCAATCTTTTCCTCACAGCTTCCTCCTCCCTGGGCTGAGATGCTCTATCCAACCTGGAGCGGATGAGATCCTCGGCAGAGGCAGACCCTACTGTTCATTGTCATTAAACCTCCAGATGTCGCACTGAAGTGCCACCATTAGACTCTTGTCCTAACCAAGTCAGACTTCTACTGGGTTCATTTGATCTCCTCTGTCGCCCTTCCCCGCCACCAGCGAGCTCTAGACTAAGGAAGAGGAGCAGTTGTGGTTATTTTATTTGTTCTGTAGGGGCAGAGGCCCTCCTCTCCCTTCCCACTGACCTCTGAACCCCCAAGATTTTGTGGCAAAGGTTAGAGAAAAAGAAATGATGTCTTGTGAGGAGGGAATGCATGGGAGGAGAGGCTGTGATCCTCGCATCTGCTGGCCTGCTCTGCCCCTGAGCAACACACAGGTCATGTTTCTTAAAGGCTACAGGGGATCTGTGGGCCTCATTAGACTCTCGAGGTCAACAGAGTTGAGTGGAAAAAGGAGTGAGCTGAGATCCAAACGGTCATGTTCTGGCATTAGCCCTTCATGCCGGGGCTGGGTGGCCTTGGGGAGATCACAGAACTCCTCCTTCCTGATTTCCTGATAAGGACTGAAGGGAACGTAGAGGTTTGGGTGGCATCTTGAAGACACCTCCTAGACTTCGGTGGTCCTCCGCGCTCACTCTGAGTTTGTCCCCACAGTCAGTACCGTTATGTCCCAGTCATCTCTTCCTTGCGTGGCCAGAGCTTGCTGCTGGCCTGTGTAGCTCTGTGTACCCCTTGTTCCCCGGCGCATAGCAGCATGTAGATGAGAACAGCCTCCTGCTGCCCTCAACATCTGCCAGATGGCATGCGAAGGAGCATTGGCGACCTACAGAGGAGAGACTGGTTGGTATAAAAGGCCAGTGGCATTACAGAGTGCTGGGATATGCAAGTTCTTAGTGACCCCAGCTTCCTAGACTCTACTGAGTTATGACCAAAGGGTAGTAAGTATGCTAGGAATACATCCCCAGCCGTGGCCAGTCTTTGTGGCCAGGGTGACCAGGCACCCTGGAGTAAGGACAGTAGTGGGTAGAGGCTGCTCAGAGAGAGACAAGAAATGCCTTCCCCAGCTAACCCAGAGAGGAGAAGGGATAAAGAGGAGCATGTGTCACTGCTGTTTACAGCTGGAGGGAACTAGGTCGTCTCACCCAGTCTTCGGTTATGAGCGAAGTCAGGGCCATGAGTTAAACAGATGCCTAATGAGGCCAGAGGTGAGATGGGAGCCAGGTCTCCTGACCCAATGAAAGGCTTTCTCCCTGACACCACAGGGCCTCCTCACAGGGGCTCGGTCACCACACCTTCCATGCCTCCCTCTGACCCTGACCTTGAACATCTAAGTGTTAGCCAGGCCTCCACCTTGCTGTTTGTCAAGGCCCCATAAAACCTGGGCACAGCAGCCTGGCCAGAGAGACCGAGCCTACACCTGGTACCTGGCAATGTTCAGTCAGCACAATTGTGTTTTATGGTGTGTCTTGGGACAGATCAAGACAGGAAGTGAAGGAGTTAAAGTCAGACCTTGGCAGTGGTTTCCCATTCAGATACCCAGTGGCTTTATTGCTAAGCAGACTTGTTCAGAGGGTGGGGACTGAGGCCAGCTTGTACTGTCCCTTGCTCAGAGAGCAGCTGGCTACCCCATGGCTCTGTTGATGACATGTGAGCTGAATGGAAGCCACTGACTTTTTTTCTATGGATGCCTTTTGATTCCACATTTTCTTCTGAGCTCAAAGGTTTGTATGTTGAGCTCTACCTGCTGTACAGGCACTAAATTCTTAAATGTGACCTTTATCCTCATGAGAGGCCTCAGAGAGGTACACATGTGAACTTGCCCATGACCCATAAGGGCAGGGCTCAGACACAGGATATCTGATCCCAAACCCCTTCCTTTCCCCATATTTTGCCAGGCCCTTCTGCACAGCAAAGGAAGGGCTGGAGGATAGTAGGCCAGATATGGATGGAAGTTTCCAGCATTCAGAATGGTACTTCTGAGTACCAGGCCCTGGGCTTGGTTCTGGGTTGCAAAGTTGAATAAGACACAGTTGCTTGACTCGCAGGATCAAGTGGCTGCCTGGCAGTGGGACCGACGTTTATAATCATGGCCATGTGAGTGTTACCAGAGAGAGAAATTCCTGGGGTGCTGGGAGCCCAGAGAACAGGGTAGCACCCAGGGAGTACTATGCCAAGGTGGTGCATGGGACTCAGGTTGAAGCATGCTGGTAAGATTGCCAGGCAGAAAAAGGAAGTGGAGAATTTTTCAAGGAAAAAGATATGGAGGTGAGAAAGAGCCCGGCTCAGGGTCTGGAA